CAGTAATCCGGTAGAAAATTGCGAGACAGTTGTAAAAACAATGAAGAATATAGACTTGACTAATAAATTTTTTTTTTGAATAGATAAAATTTTATTTTTCGTTTTGGCATCGGTCAAGAAGTTGAACAATGATCGAATAATCAACAAACAACTCAACCACGAACTCAAGTCCGTTTATCCACAATTTTGATCCAGATGTAAAACATTCGAAAATCGGAAAAAAAATGAATAAACATATATATATATATATATATATATATATATATATATATATATTCAAACTTATTATGATAAATTTATAAGAATCAAAAACATCAGAACGATTAAATAAATTCATAAAATTTAATAATTATTTTGCATTATTGAAAAATTTTTTAGGATAAGAATATAAAATCGGGTATTTTACTCTTTACTGGCTCTTGCATTGTAAACATGGTGAAAAAATCTGTGACCTCATTGGAACTTAGAAAACTGATAGTCAAGTTATGTAATGAAGATAAACTCTCAATTGGGGATATTTCAAAGACTGTGGGTAAATCTAAAAGTGTTATTCATAGTATTTTAAACAAACTTGAGGAAACTGGGTCATGTGAAGCCAAGAAAAACCACCTGGCAGGCCTAGGAAAACTACTGCAAGGGAAGACAGATGGATTGGTAATGAATCCAAAAAAGGATGGATTTGCCACAGCAATGCTAACCTTGACATTAAAATATCAAGGCACACTATTTCCCGAAGACTTAATGAAATAAATCTGAACAGTTGAGTAGCCTCTATGAAGCCTCACATTTCTAAAAAGAATCAAATTAACCGATTGAAATTTGCCACTGAACACGTCATATGGACAGAAAAATAGTGAGATTGTGTTCATTTCAGCGATGAGTCAAAGTTTAACCTGTTCAGTTGTGATGGGAGAAGGTTTGTTCGACACAGTCCTAAGGAACGATATTTGCCTCAGAGCACTAAGAGCAGCATTAAATTTGGAGGAAGTGTGATGGTGTTTGGCATTTCAGCTGCTGGTATGGGACCTCTTGTTAGGCTACACGGTAACATTAATGCAACTGTATGCAAAGAGATATTGAAGAAACATGTTGTACCTAATTTGAGAACTGCAATTAATCAACCAGCTGTTTTAATGCAAGATAACACACCATGTCACACAGCGAAGTCTGTTAAGACAATTCTTTCTGAGGAGGATGTTACTGTTATGGAGTGGCTTGCTCAAAGCCCAGACATGAATCATGTTGAGAATGTTTGGAAGTTACTAAATGAAAGAGCTAAGGAAAAGAATCCAACAAACGTTGAAGAACTATGGATTAATTTGAAAGGAGAATGGGAGAAAATATCCGTTAATGAATCTAAGACATTAATTCGCTCATGTAGTAAAAGATGCCAAGCTGTTATTGAAAGTAGAGGTTTACACATCAAGTACTAATGAATTATGAATGCTATTTTCATTTGGATATGATGTATCCATTATAATAGTATGATTTTCTTAATCGTTCTGATGTTTTTGATCATCTATTTTTTTCGAATGTTATATAATTGTCTTAAAACTTTATCAAAATAAGTTTATTGAACTTTATATTTTGGAATTATATAATTTACCTTTATATCCTAATTTTCCTTTGATAAAATGTTCTATGAAGCTTTAAAAGAAAATGTTATTTCACATTTAGACTTTTTCATAAAATCGTTCTGATCTTTACTCTGTATGTATAAAAATATATTGTTAAATAAATATATATATATATATATATATATATATATATATATACTGTTAAATATAACAGACAATTAATGTCTATTATGTCTGATCATGAGCCGTTCTAATGATCGTATATTTGCTTTAATTTCAGGTGAAAACAGAGACAAAAATTGTCGAACATGTGGATATTATTTTATTAAGTTGGTCCTTAATCTAAGCTTTCGGCTCACACCAACTATCTTCAGAGTGGTTATACAAACATTTTAACAAAGATATTTACCATCGAAAATAATATCTTGACATAGATGATTGCTATGCGACGATAACGGTTGCGGAATAACAAACGCAGGTCGTAAATTCAAGATGCTGTTCTATGACGTCATACCACGCGAGAGGCTGAAATATTAACAACAAAACCATATGTCTAGATACAATGTAATATGTCTAGTTTGAAATGTAATTTTGTTGAGTGTGGGTTACTTTGTTTTAATGTAGATGGCCTCCAATATCTGAAGGTTCTTTTTACTGTGTGTATGCGTGAGTATGATTGTGTTATCAACTAATATCTGTCTAATGTTATGTACATGGCTATGTTTTTCTAAGAAATGTTTAATAGAACTAAGATCAGAAAGGTGACAGGTAAGTTTACGGGAGAGTGCGGTTGTATTAAAACCAATATATATAGCGGATTTATTATTAGTATCAGAGATACAATCTCTGAACAGACATGTCAATTGATACACTACATTGTTTTTTTTATAAAGGATTTAGTTGTGTGGTTGTATGCCTATTAGAGACTATGAGGTCAATTGTTTTAATTTTTTTATAATATATGATGAGCTTAACTTTTTTGTTATTATTAATAGGTTTAACATTTCTACCTATTATGTTTTTGAGTGTTGTTTCATCATGTTTGTAATCATTATGTATTTGGTTACAATAGTATAAATTAATAGGGTCATGTTTATTTTGACATACACTATTATTATTAATATTATCAATTTTGTTAGAAATATTATTTATTATTTATTATTAAGTTTATTGAGATACGTTTTAATTTGTTGATCAATGACAAAATTAGGAAATCCATTATTAACAAGTGTTTGTTTAATAATATATAATACTTTGTAGTATATGGTTTTGAAGAAGATATCATTTGTGTGCGTTCGATTAATATTTTTTGAATAAAGGCTAACTTATATCGTTGGGGTAATTCACTGTTATAATTAAGAAGAGACGAGTTAATGCTAGTGGACTTCCTATATAGAGAAGTAGTAAATTTATGTGTGCTGGAATCAATAAATACATCAACGAATGGAATTTTATTGTTAATATCAAGTTCTAATGTAAATTTGAGGACGGAGTGACTTTCAAATTTGTTTTAAGTTTTGTAATTTGATCAATATTTTTAGCTAAAGCGAAAATGTCATCTATGTATCTTACATATATAAGGAATTTATTAGTTCCATTAAGTATTTTATTTTCTAAATGTGCCATATAATAATTAGAGAAAAAATTGGCCTAAAGGAGATCTCATCGCCATACCGTCTATTTGAGTATAAATATTACCAAGGGGTTTGAAAAGTTACTTGAGTAGTACATAATATATTTTTTAAAATAGTGGGTTTAATTAACTCCACAAATTTGTATTAACTTCACGAATGAATTTATACAAATTCTTCATGCTGTAAAACCAAACAACAAAATAATAGTATCTTTGGACGTACAAAATTTATTTACTAATGTTTCCATCACGGTAATGATTGACATCATTATCCGTGATGTATATAATCATCCTTCTCTCCCACCCATCAATATTAACGGGAGAGTGTGGTTGTAGTAAAATGAATATATGTAGTGGGTTTATTATTAGTATCAGAGATACAATCTCTCAGCGGCCATTGTAAATTGATACACTGCATTGTTTTTTTTGTTTGTTTAGAATTTAGTTGTGTGATTGTAGAGTTAGTAGAGACTATGAGGTCAACCGTTTCAATTTTTTTTTTTGTAATATATGATGAACTTAACTTGCTTATTATTATTAAGTGTTTTAACTTTTCAACTTGTTATGTTTTTGAGTGTTGTTTCATCATATTTGTAATTATTATGCATTTGATTACAATAGTGTAAGTTAATAGTATTAGGTATTTTGACGTACAATATTATTATTAATATTATCAACCCGACAGAGATTGAGGAATCGGAGAGGGGAATTCGAATACCAATCGAATTTGTTACACGTTAACTTACGTGCATCTATCTATCTATCTGGAACATACCTATTCTATTGTTAATAGACTCTCCCACATATAATAAGTAGTAGCAGTCGCCAGTGAGCTGGTGAGTCAGTCGATGTCGGACATTAAAGTATCAACCACCACAACTAGATTGCTGCGTCATTAACTCTTATTTCAAGTTCCTAACGTTTTGTACGTCGAACCTATTTTAGGACCGACTTAGTACGAATACAAGCCTCCACTGTGAAAACTACTCTACAACACATTGGCGACGAGGGATCCGTTCTCATACGGAGGAAGAACAATTTTTCGTACACTCCACAACACTATCTATGTCATTATATTTTCTCTCTTTGTGTATCACTGTCTCAGATATATATCGTTCTCTATTTATCTTCAGTGCGTGGAAATATACCAGCCAAACCTCGAACCCGATTGTGTATTTCGGCTTTTTTAATGCCAGGACATTGGCGAACATGATTCTCCATGAGGGGTCATCGTAGGCATCAGTTTATCTGACGAGATAAAGGTAGCGTCCTGTTTGAGCAAAATTGGGAAAAGTACGAATCTATCTTTTCTCCCCACAGATACGGGTAAATAGCAGGACAGACTCGGTCCTATAGCTTTAGTTGGCAACTGGTTTCGGAAAAAGAACAACTCTGAATTCAAAACCTCCAACTATGGGTAAAAAGGAAAGCAGACAGGGATCTTCACCCTTGAAGATTATCCAGGCCGGTAGACTTCAATTACGCCGTTTAAGCAAATAGACATGTCTAATCAAACACATGTATTCACTAAATACAACATTCATTGCAATAAGAAATGTGTGTGTGCCTACAAAGGTCGCGAGTGATTTATAAATATATTTTGTTTACTTGCCAGCGAAGAGGAGGAGGTTAAATCTTTTGCCAAATGAAATGTTACTATTTTGCCTGTTTTGGTGGGAGAATTTGTTTTCGAAAGAAACGCAATAAGGCCATAAACCAACTCGAATCCCAGTGGTCAGACGAAATGAATCTTTGTTTGAGCGGCGGGCGAGTCTAGCTGTAATTGAAAGATAATGGCCAGAAGACGGACCGAAGGGAAGCCTAAACGTGTTTTTTTTTTCAGAAGCAGGAAACAAGATAGGTTTGTTAAAAAGTTTTATCAACACAAACGCATCTATCTATCTATCTATCTATCTATCTATCTATCTATCTATCTATCTATTTAGTTGAACTTCAAATTAAAAAAGCTCAAATTCAAATTAATATGGTTCAACTTCAAGTTAAAAAAGCTCAACTTTAAACTGACAAAAGCTGAATTTCAAATGAAAATTTTATTAATTCAATTTACTCCAATATTAGTTTAGAACCAAATAAAGAAGCGAACCCACAATATAATCAGAGACATAATTAGAAATTAACCAATTCATATATTGTTCCTCATTTGAAGAACATGTTGCGCCATGGTTGGGGCAGACTTTTTTCTGTACATGATTGTACGCTATTAGGTACAGCGGTGGGGTAATTGCAGATATCGCTTCCTCAACTGCTTCTTCAAGATAAACGAAATCGTTATTTTTTACGTACAGTTACGTACAGTTTTTTTTTTTACAGTTTTTAACGTACAGTTACGAACAGCTATGTACAGTTAGATACAGTTTTTTAAGTACAGTTTACAATTTTTTACGTACAATAGTGCATACATTGTTTCGTCGATTGCTTCATTAAAATAACAAAATCATTCTCTCTGAGTAAGTGTTGCGTGTGGTGAAACCCTGATGATTTAAGTTGTTTTCAGTACCCGGCATTTCATAGCACCTTTTAATTTGAAGTGTTTTTTTTTTAAATATAAAAATGACTTTCCTTTTTAATTTGCGATACAATGCTTAAATCTAGAGAGTCTGACGGAGCCTATCCCTCGTTAACCTTTTTTGAATTCAGAGTTTTCCTTCTAGATTGGCTGCCAAGAGAGATCAGGTTAAGACTTGAACGTTGGATTCATACCTGACAATAATATGTGTGAGAAACGGAACGCAACGGACTGGACAGGAATTCGAACCCGATTCCCCGATATTCCTTTCGGATTCGCTAACAATTAAACTTCTCGCTTATCCATCTATTGTGAAAACAGGGAATATCAGTTATTCAATAAAACTGTGAAATTCATAGTATTGTTAGACAAAATTCGTGTATAAATAAAATTATCTGCTTTCTCGACATTTTTTTCATTTGTAAGCATTTTCACAGATAGTTTGCAAAAATCGATAATATTTAGCATAAACTGCGTAAAAAAAAGAGTAATCAGAAATTGTATTTCCGCATCTTCGTCTTCTGGATTCGTAGAAAGCAAATATGGAATACGTTCAATTACTATTGAACTGTGATTAATATTCTGGCAGACAATTTTTCCCTTTCGTTGCTTTTGTGCACACTTTTGTGCATTGGCCCAAAGTTAAATTATTCTTCAAAAATCGGCTCTGTGCAGGACATATTCGTGTTAAACATAGATTGAAAGAAAAATATGTTTCTATGGATTTTTTCGAACCAATTTTCTAGCTTTGAATTACAAAACACCAACCAACAGTTTTGTTAATCGTTTGCTTGTAAAGTTTGTTTTAGTTTGTTTTCTAGAGTTAAGACAATTTCCGAAAATAATCAGCCTAGAAGCAGGAAACTTTTTTTAATGCAGGCAGTCATGTTATTTGGTATGCGCATGCGTGAATTTTGACTTTCTTGTCGGTTTTCGAAAATGCTTTTGTCATAACGCTGAGCTCAATATGGAGAAGCCACGCACGCATTGTTATATCGGCTGGAATGAAAGTCCAAACAAATGTAAGACAAACACGTTTTTTTTTTCAAAATCAAATTCTGATTCTTTGATTTTCTTAATAAAGGACATAACCAAGAAAAATACCTCCTCTCCATATTTTCTTTTATAAAGATTATGATCGATGCCACCGGAGGTGGGCTTCTCTTTCTTCCTGATCCGTGGACATACTTTTATTTTATACTAGCAGCATGGCCGGCGTTGCCTGTGCTTGATTCAAAAATCGTACGACTCATACAGCAATCGCTATCACTTGACTTAAAATATTTTTCCCTTCCTTGCCTTTAAAGGAGTGCCCTTTGCCGCGCTGATGTTGATACATGCCTTACTTCTTGCCTATCTCACACTGCGAATTTTTTCTAAGCTCTATACTAAACATTAAATCTATTGCGGAAAAAAGAACTAAACAAAATGAACACAAAACGATTAGCTTTAAAAAGGGACTCGTAACTGGAAAAACCGAATGAAAAAAGAATATTAACAACAAATACTTTTTCACACCCAAACCAGTTCTGCAGTATCAGGATCAACATTGAGTTTAAGCAAGCGAATGAGCCAATTGGAGTAAAGTGCCATGCAGATTTAAATTTTTCCCACTTGTGACGAATGCAGCTATCGATTTTTTTGCATGCTAGCATGCTAGTAAACATTCGTGTCAGTCAGCTGTTGGCTCTCACGCTGGCCAATAGAATCTTCCTGCTTATTTGGCAGCCAGCTATTGGCTGGCCAGTAGAAAATGGTCGCAAACTACATGAAAACTACCGCAGAAGCATGAAAAAATCGATTATTTCCACTATCGATGGGAGTTGGAAAATGCAAAGTCAGTCTTGGTGAATGCATCTAGCTTGGAGCATGTGCATGTAAATTTTGGTGCAAATGCATTTTTTATCCTAGTCTTAATTGCACATTCACACACACACACACACACACACACACACACACACACACACACACACACACACACACACACACACACACACATCCTGCCTTTTATAGATAGAGATTTTAAATGGCATTTTTATTCTGGACAAAATGGGCAAAAGATGGTTTGTTAATTTTAATGATTTCAAAACTAAACTTCTCTCCATTAAGCATCTGAGAGAATCCTCTCTGATTTCCATCAACATGGCTGATGCTAACCTCCAGGAAAGTGACTTATTGCGCCTTCTCTGGCTAACGTTCTCAGCTGAAGTGGAAAAGTTATATTGAATCTATTGCTAAGTCAGCTGCTAAAAAATTCTTAGCAGCTGACCTAATCGGTTCACTATGTCGTACGAGACAACCTTTTTTCTCTACAGAATTTATCTTACATATCTATGAGTCTACCGTTCGTCCATGATTAGAATATTGCTGCTACATATTGCCCGGTAACCCTGCTATTTGCCTTGAGCTTCTTCATAAAATCCAAGTAAGAATCAGCAATATTATTGCTCCTGATCTGGCGGCTTGGCCTTAGTATCTTTCCCATTGCCGTAAGGTTGTCTCTCTGTGTCTTTTCTATAAATACTTTCATCGTAATTGCCCGGATGAGCTCTTCGTTATGGTACCTAGCCTTTTTTTGTATTTAGGGGAAGTCCCAGACTGGCGTCGGGATCTTATTGTAGTTGAGTTGGCTAAACATAACGGTAAATTCTATGCTAACAGTTTTTTTTCGCACTTCTCGCTTGTGGAACGCCCTTCCATCTCCATTCTTTCCAGCCAACTTTAATCTGCAAAAATTCAAATGCAATGTGAATTGCTATCTACTGTCCTCCGGATTACTCTTTTCTCTTTCCTTTCATTATTAATATTTCTATTCCTAATTCTTCTACAACCTGTAACCCCCTTGTATCTTAGTGGCTTTATTGCCTTACCAATTAAAAAAAGAACGTCGGTGGTCATAGTTCTCCGCATTTTCTTCAATATCAAAAGACTGCCATGATTTGTAAATAATATTTTATCGTTATAGTCTTCAACACTATTCATTGTAAGCGTATATTGAGTGTAATGACCTTCAGAACTTTTGTGCATTTGTTTCAATGATATTGATAAATAACACTGATAGAAATGTACGTATGTCACGATGGTAGATTACCAATGATCGGCAACATGTATAATGGCGGTCAGCAAGATTTTGCAGAAGTGCAACGATAGTTATCTCTGATAAATATACGAGATTAAATTTACAAGCATAATTTTTATATTTTATAATTCACCGAATATAAGCTTCAAACTCCACTCAAAGTAGAGAATTACTGTTTAAACGGTAATAATGAATGAGATGTGTGATATTGTTGCATTGTAACTCAAACCAGGCAGCAGGTTCTTTGGAAGAGTGCAGTTTTTTTCAGTCAAAGTCTTGTGATTTAAAGATTACTCTTCGGACAGATCATTACCCACGAGTGAAAAACAAAACAATTTCTAGCAGTAAACCAGATTTTATTCTTCGAGTGTAACTTACTGCTATAAATAAGAGAAGAGGCGTAAGTGAGGGGGGGTGCACAGTTCAGCGTTTTCCGAGGCTCGCTTCGTTCTTTCTGTGTGCCTTTTCGCAGGATAGTCAGTTTTATAGACAACAATTTATTAAAAATTAATTTATCTTCCTTCCATGACTTTCTCTCAGTCTGAGCTTCTTGCTCTTTACTTGACAGGCCCCGGTGTTTTCAATTTTAAAAGACCTCCGCTGACTCATATTGCTACAATACGAATGAAAGAGGAGGTGGCAACAGGTGAGGATTATCAGAATAAAGAGGATAGAAGATGACTTACCTTTGAGTTGAAAAAATTGATTGTACTTCTTATGGAAACGTCCAGGTAGGAGTTTGTTTGTCAAAGTGGCAGTTCTTAGAAAAACTCCGTCTTATTGGAACTTTCTGCTTAGATTTGAAGTGCGGGGTAAATGAGGATTATTCGATGGAGGTAGCTTGGCTTTTCCTAACCATACATGTCTGAACTGGTGGCACTGTAGAATGGTGCTATTCTGAACATTTGCGATGAAAGTAGTGATAGATTTGCGACACTACAACTGTGGGAAGGAATATGAAAAATGGAGAATTTTTTTTTCCCAGAAAACTGCATAAAAGCTTTTGTACTCTCTCAAGGCTGAAAAGGATGATCGTACAGCTCCAGTTCGAATATGACAGCAATACTCTTGTAATGAAAAAGCATATCAGAAGTAGTCACATACTTTCTGGAACAAAATAATAATTTAGCCCTTTTTTTTTACCATCCCTAGCAATGAGTTCTACTTGAGGTTTGGAGTGAACTTGAGACAAAGTACTCGTTTATTTATTTTTCTCACCTGGTTGACTTGTGCGTGTGTGTCCTAAGTTCAGCTGGGTTCATTTCCTGTTTATGTTGAGGCCCGCTTCTGCACTTGGCGGCTTTAAGGGTACCTTTTAGATCGAACTTCGGGGCATTTTT